AATTAATGTTCTACAAATAATACCAGCAAGTCTAGGAACTGCACTCCAACAGCCATGGCCGCAGGCAGAAATGTGCATTGAAAGTTTCTCATCTTCCTCAGGTGACCACGTCCCTCTCTTCACTTTTTGTTTGTTGCAGCACTTATGGTGTCCATGACCCATTCTCTCTTTCGCTCTCTTGGAAACCAGCTGTACAACAGAAATTGCAGAAAATTAAAACTGTTATTCAGTATATATATTCACGATAAAGAAACAAGAAACAGATGAAGAAAGGTCCTAAAGGAGCAACCGAAAAGCTTGAATTAAATGGAATGGCTGACTTCAACTGAGAGTACACTGCAGATATGAATTTAATGCAGAGAGCTGTACAACAATGGCTATGACGACCCTGTTTAGAGGATTTAATGGTAAAACTTGCAATAACCCTTCGGGCGAAGGGGGGACGTCTTATAATGGATCTTCCTTCATGGCCAGTTTCCACGAGTCAGCCATGCAATTTAGATAGGACCCACATTTTGACAAGTACCCAAAGCTCAATTACAGTTTTATGAATGTATATTCTTGTATCCTTTTTGAAGAAAAATGTTTTCATTTTAGTCCGCCATAACTCAGCCCTGATTGTGTACAGCAGAAATGTAAACAAATATTTTTGGATTGAAATAATACCTCTGTTACACAGTGCTGATCCAGCTATGGTACATTTTACACATTTTGTAATGTGGAAAATGTAAGGGAGAATAATCAACTAGTATTTGTCTGAAATAATCTAAACAATTTTTATTTATTCTGACTAATATAATATTCTTTTGGTATTAACTTGGTTACTCTCGTAATTTTCTCTATCGTCCATGGATTATTCACACCAATATTTATGTAATGTTCTTAATGGTAGGTATATTCACAGCACAATCGGTAAACGACAATTTACTCATCCCATTTTTGTGCACATATTAAGTATATTAGTTGTGCTAACGACAAAAATGACAACATTTACAACATATTCTCCCGTGTCGAGGATATTTCCAACACAATGGGCTGATAAATGATAGTTCATGCCATACGGGGGTAGGCGTTTACTCATAGCGAGTAATTAAAGCCAAATGATGATTTGTACAATGTGTTCTTCTTTGGTCGGTATATTTGCAACACAACTAGTAAATGTTTATAATTCGCACAATCAGTATTTTTTTTTCAATATGTATAATTATATGTCAATTTCTTATTATTTTGTGATACACTTATTTGTATTGTAGATAGACGTTTATTTTAAATTCTTATACTAATTTATTTGCTAAATGGTTTATTTGTTCGCTATAAAGATCGACGACATTGTGCACGAAAAAAATTGCTCACTTGGTAGACAATTACCTATTTGGCACTTGTGAATATTTAGGGAGTGTTGGTAGATTGTTTGATACAGTACAATAAATAAGATTTAATGTTTTTTCCTTCTTATCTCGTTCATAGGCGTACCTAACCAAATGAACTACACGTGTACAAGCTATTAATTCTATTTAATGATAAGCAGATGTTGATAATTAATTGGTCAACAAACAAATTTTAAACTTAGAGACTATCAATATTCAAACTCCAGATTATTTACATAATTACGTGTACACAAAAACAAATAAAGGAGTTTTTACTTTACCATTAGTTTTGAACTAAAAAGGAG